CTTCGTAAACAGACTGGTGGGGGCGACGGGAAGCCGCACCCGATCCGAGCTCCGGTTCTCTCTGTCCGGCTTCCTGCTGACGCGTCCTGGGAGGCCACAGCTGCACTCGGGTCCCCGCCACCCACACAGGGGACCTGGACAGAGCTCTGGCCCGGCCCAGCGTACCACTGCAGACATCCAGGGTGTGATCAGTGGCTCTTTCCCGCCACCGCTTTGCCTTTCAGATAAACACACACATGCACACACACACACACGCACACGCACACACACACACACACACTGTCGCAGCACAGGCAGAACAACTGTGGAACAGCTGCAAACAGCCCAGACGTCCTGCATCCGCACAGGGCGGGAGATGCCTGCTCCCCGCGCCCCCGCGCCCCTGCACCCCACTCCCGCACCCTGACTGGGTGAAGCCTGGGACCCCAGCTGGCCCCGGGACTGGAGACGGGGAGTGGGCGGGATTCACGGCGGGGCCCTGGAGATGCGGCACGGCTGTCGGCATCACCCGCTCCATGTCCTCCCCTGGCGCGTGGAGCACAGAGCAGCCAGGCCGGGCAGGGGACCACGGCCAGCTGTTCCCGAGCGGATCCGGGACCCCGTGGGGATGGCGAGCAGGGCTGGCAGGAGCCCCACGACGGCCCTGAGGTCTTACTTTTGGGTGCACCCTGCTTCTTGGGGGTCGGCGGCAGTCCCTTCTCACTCCTCCCGGATTCCGCGGAGAGAGGAGCCGTGGCAGCAAATCCTCGGAACACGCGTGCTTCTAGGAGCACCGTCTGGTGGAAGAACGAACACGCGGGGCTGTTCAGCAGGGTGCCACCGGGCCAGCTCACGACCCGTGAGGACCACGCAGGAACCGCACCCGGGCAGAGGGCGTCACCCGGAGTCTGTCTGCTTATCTTTAAAGATTTATTTATTTATTTGAGAGGCAGACACAGAGACAGACAGACAGACAGACAGACAGAGAGAGGTCTTCCATCCGCTGGTTCACTCCCCAGTTGGCCGCAACGGCCGGAGCTGTGCTAATCCGAAGCCAGGAGCCAGGAGCTTCATCCAGGTCTCCCATGCGGGTGCAGGGCCCAAGCACTTGGGCATCTTCCACTGCTTTCCCAGGCCACAGCAGAGAGCTGGATAGGAAGTGGAGCAGCCGGGACTGGAACCTGCGCCCACGTGGGATGCCGGCACTGCAGGCGGTGGCTGTACCCGCTACACCACAGCGCCAGCCCCCACACAGTGTATTTCTAATGGTTACCATGATTTTCCCAACATACTTGTATGCGCGGTATGGAAATTCTAAATAAAACAGGGGTTTCACGAACAATCACGACCAACACGCGGTGAGTGACAGTCCCACGGGGTCTTTTCCCTCCGTGAGCCCACAAAACACTGTTTCTGGGGCCGGCGCTGTGATCCCACATGGGCACCGGTTCGAGTCCCGGCTGCTCCACTCCCCATCCAGCTCCCTGCTGTGGCCTGGGAAAGCAGTGGAGAATGGCCCAGGACCTTGGGCCCCTGCACCTGCGTGGGCTTAGCTCTGGCCGTTGTGGCCAACTGGGGAGTGAACCAGCTCCCCCACCCCCCTTCTCTCTTCTCTCTGCCTCTAATTCCGGCTTCCAAATAAGTAAATAGATCTTGGGCCTCTCACCGCGCGTGGACTCAGCGGCGGCCCGCAGGCACACGCACACCTAAGGCGGTGCGGCCACGCGTGTTCGCGGGGCGCGCACGCGAAGGCTGACCCCGCGCCCCAGAGATGGACCCCCCGCACACACTGTATTTTAAATTATCCTGCAGCGAACGCCGCAGCAGCACCGGGCCCGCCCAAGCCCGGCCTCCCCTCCCGTCCCGGCCACACGGGAAGCAAGACGTCGCCGCCCTCGGCCGCCCCGCGGCCCGGCCCCGACGCCGGGGTCCCCCCGGGGCCGCCCCGCCTTACCTTCAGCGCTCCGGCTCGTCCCTGCCGCAGCAGAAGCGCGGCCGCCATGGCGTCCGCACACGACCAGCCGCGCCGAGTGAACACCGGCGGAGGTCGCACGGACACGCAGGCGAACGCTGCGCGCGCACTCCCGCCTGAGTACACGCCCCGTGGGCCGGGCTCACCAATCACAGGCGAGCACGAGGGCGGGGTTGGGCGGGGCGGGAAGCGCGCGCCTGCGCTCGCCCCGGCTCGGGAACCCGCCCCTTGGGCCGAATTCACCAACCACAGGCCGCGTGGGGGCGGGACGGACGCCGATGGACTGCAAGAGCCCGCCAATCAGAGGCAGGAGCGAGAAGGGCACCGCCCCCAGGCCGGCCCGGAAGATGGGTCCGCGCCCTGCGAGGCGCTGTGGGTGCCCTTGTGGGCGCGGAGGAGCCCGGGGCGGGAACTGGGACTGCTCCTCACGCCTTTCCCCGTCGTCGCAGCCTTGAACCGACATCCTGCCCGGGCGCGCAGCCTCCCACCTCGTGTCCTGGCGACCTCGCACCCCGTGACGTCAGCGCGGTCCACGCTGACGTCAGAGTTGGCGCAGGTCAGCAATGGAAACTTTCAACCCCCGAATGTTTTTATTTTTATTTATTTATTTTTTTTGTGACAGGCAGAGTGGACAGTGAGAGAGAGAGACAGAGAGAAAGGTCTTCCTTTGCCGTTGGTTCACCCTCCAATGGCCGCTGCGGCCAGCGCACCGCGCTGATCCGATGGCAGGAGCCAGGTGCTTTTCCTGGTCTCCCATGGGGTGCAGGGCCCAAGCACCTGGGCCATCCTCCACTGCACTCCCTGGCCACAGCAGAGAGCTGGCCTGGAAGAGGGGCAACCGGGACAGAATCCGGTGCCCTGACCGGGACTAGAACCCGGTGTGCCGGTGCCGCAAGGCGGAGGATTAGCCTAGTGAGCCGCGGCGCCGGCCTAACCCCCCGAATGTTTACAGCGTTCCGTGTGGAGAGCCCTCCGAAAGCCAGGCTCAGTCGTGGAGCAGGGGTGGATGGTCAGCCTCAGTGCGGGGGCCCACCGCCCCTGGAGGACGGCCTCACTGATGGGTGTGCGAGCCCGCCCCAGCCCACCGCCCCACCAAGGACGGATCAGAACCACCAGGGAAGCAGAAAGCGAGGCATTTCCTGTGGCTCGGGCTGGGGAGCAGCGCCCAGCAGGTGGAAGCAGACTGGAGCCTTCGGCCCCTGCCCCTGCCCCTCCCTGGGAGCCACAGCCTGGACCTCGCGTGCTAGGCCCTGGGCAGGGTGGGGGAGGGGTGCCGGTGGGGGGAGGGAGGAGGGTCTCACATCGTGGCATCCTCCAGGCTCTGGGTGCAGGTCCAGAGCTGCTGAGTTACGACGATGGCAAAGCCAGCTCGGCCGTGGACTTGCTGTGGCCTGAGACACTTCGCGGCCTCGCCGGGCCCAGCCAAGCCTGTCGGGGAAATACACCACCGGGTGGCGCCCCGCTGCGCCCGCCTCGCCTTCCTGCACCACTTGGTGCCGTCTTCGTTTTATACCTGGATTAAGCCGGTCTACGAGTCCCCGGACTCCCTGGGCACTCTGATCAGACCCTGGTTCTGGCGCCCCCAGGATGGGCCGTGGTCCCGACGGCCCGCTGCACCAGGGCTCAGGGCCCTGTCCAGTTGGGTGACCACCAGCCGCAAAGCTGTTCCCTCCAGACAGCGGCCTGTGGAGCCGTGGCTGTTACACCCAGCGCAGGGGTAGGCCCTCCCACAGGCCTGGAGAGACGAGGAGGGGCTCACTGTGTCCGGGAGACAGAAGGAGCAGGCCGGCGGGGAGCTTGCTGGGAAGTGAGCGTTCTTGCAGGTCTCCTCCCCCAGGCGTCTCGTCTTGGTACAGAGCCAGCACGCAGCTCGTGCCAGCCGGCCAGAGCCCCATTCCAGAGGGAGGGGACCCACCTGTGCCTGTGGCCACCTGCGTGGAACAGAGCCAGCATGCGGCTCGTGCCAGCCGGCCAGAGCCCCATCCCAGAGGGAGGGGACCCACCTGGCCACACGGGCTGAACACTTCACCATCCAACACAGGGGTCTGCATCTCCACATCCTGTCTGTATGTTTAGGGTTCGCCTTAATTCAGTCATTTTCTTTAGAACCATCTAAGTTTACAACCTCATGGCGGAGACTCTGAGTACAACTAAAAGTCTCAGTGCAAGACGCGTATTCACCTGGCCTTGGCTGTGTGAAGAGAGGGAAAGCATTCCCTCTGGGGCCGGCGGCGCGGCTCACCTGGTTAACCCTCCACCTGCTGCACCGGCATCCCACGTGGGCACCGGGTTCTAGTCCCGGTCGGGGCGCCAGATTCTGTCCCGGTTGCCCCTCTTCCAGGCCAGCTCTCTGCTGTGGCCAGGGAGTGCAGTGGAGGATGGCCCAAGTGCTTGGGCCCTGCACCCCATGGGAGACCAGGAGAAGCACCTGGCTCCTGCTTCGGATCAGCGTGGTGCGCCGGCTGCAGTGGCCATTGGAGGGTGAACCAACAGAAGGAAGACCTTTCTCTCTGTCTCTCACTGTCTAACTCTGCCTATCCAAAAAAAAAAAAAGAAAAAAAAAGACAGTATTCCCTCTAAAGAGAGCACAGAATGCTATAAAGCGCCTTCAGGGGAAGCAGCGTGTCCAACCCCAGAGCAGAGACAGCACAAGGCGCTAGACCAGGTCCACGCTGAGCTCTTACAAGCACGTGCATCGCACATCAGAGCACGGGTTCGAGTCCCGGCTGCTCCTCTTCTGATCCAGCTCCCTGCTAATGCCTGGGAGGGCAGCAAAGGATGGGCCCAGGTACCCATGCGGGCAACCCAGACGGAGCTCCAGGCTCCTGGCTTCAGCCTGGCCCAGCCCTGGCTCTGCAGCCATTTGGGAAGTGAACCAGAAGATGGAAGAGTCTTCCTCTTCTCCCTCTTGTTCTCGCTCTAGCGTGGACCACCTCTCCGCGGGCACACCTGGTGAACCAAGGCGCCTGGGCCACCCACAGCGGCCAAGCCAAGCCCTCCGCGCATGCGCACGCGGGCCCGGAAGTACGCCAACACGCGGCGTCTCCCGTGACGTCACGCCCGGCGACGGCAGGAAGGCGCTGCCGCGGGGCGGGAGCACGTGGGTGGCGGCTGGGCGGCCGGGCGCATGGCGTGTTCCGTGGGGCTGGCGCTGTGCGGGCAGACGCTGGTGGTGCGGGGCGGCAGCCGATTCCTGGCCGCGTCCACTGCGTGCAGGTGAGGGGGTCCTCGGGCGGCGAGCCCAGGTGGCGGGCGCGCGCCGGACCTGGCGACCGCGCTCCTTCCGTCATCGCTCGGGGGTGGCCCAGGGAGCCCGGGCACACGCAGCCCGCGGGGCCGCCCGGGCCTCGGGCCGTCCTGTCGCGGCCAGCGGCCTCCGAGTCGGGCACGGACTCTTCCGGGCGGCGGCGGCGGCGGCGGGGTGGGGTCGGGACGCCCGCACCCGGAGGGTGCCCCCGGGGCCCTGTGCTCCGCGCGTCCGCAGTGCCGGCGCGGCCTGGGGGAGGCGGCCGTGGGCGGCCTCGGGCAGTGGCGTGGGGAGCCGCGGGAGTCACGCACGCCCCGCCGCGGTCAGCCTGCGCCCCGGCGGCCGGCGGCGTGGGGAGCCCTCGCGTGGGGAAGGCGGTGTCGCGACGGAGCAGGGCTGGTTTGGTCCGTGTCGCGTGGGGCTTCGGGAGCCGAGGGGCGGCTTGTCGCCTCCTGCTGAGGTTCTGCCCGCCTTTGCTTTGGGGACGGCCTTGCAGGTGGCGTGCGCAGAGTAGACGGGTCGGCGCCCCGAGTCCTCCGTGGGGTTCTGCCCCCGGCTTTCCTCCTCGCGCGCCGTCTAACGAGCGTGCAGACAGCTGGGCGGCGCTGGAAGTCCGAGTGCCGGCTTTAAAATCCCCCGTCCCTGTCTCTCCCCAGCGATGGCGACAGCGTCTTCACGTACGACTGCAGCGCCGCGGAGAAGACCTCGCGGGAAAACCGAGGGTGAGATGGGGGCCGGAGGGGCGCGTGGGCGAGCGAGCTGCCCCCGGGAGACAGCGGCGGCCCCTCCAGCCAGGAGCCCGGAGCGCGGACGCCGGGCGCGGGGAGGCGCGGGGAGCGGCGGTGGCGCGGGCGCTGTGTGTGCGTGGCTGCCCGCGGGGCCCTGCAGCGGCGCTGGGCTCCGCTCGCTTCTCGAGGAGTGTTTGACACGACCCCCTCGCTGCCTGACTCTGCCTGGGGCCTTGCAGTGAGCGGGTTTTGCTAGGAGATGGGAGGTGGCACCTGCTGCATCCCCCGCACTGCGGCCGGGAGTTGGCGCTGGACCCTCCCGGAGGCCTGACTGTCTCGTGTCTTTCCCAGGGAGGACGGACAGCCCGTGGACCAGGGCAGTGACACGATCCTGGCGTCCACCTTCTCCACGTCCGGCAGCCATTTTGCTTTGACTGATGACAGTAAGCGTCTGGTTCTTTTCCGTACAAAACCGTGGCAATGTCTGAGTGTCAGGTATGCGATGCCAGCGCTGAATAACTGAGATGTTCGCCCTCCCCGTGCTTGCATGCCACAGCAGTAGCCAGTCACCAGCGGCCAGCAGCTGGCACGCACCGCCACCAGGGGCAGCCGCCTCCGGCGCTCGAGGGGCCGGGCCTCGTTCTCTCTCGTTCCGGGTGGGGGGTTGGAGAGCCCATGGCAGGCGAGTCAGCGGGGTGGGGGCAGGGGGGTGGGGCGCAGCTGCCCTGGCCACGGTGCCCTCCGCTTTCCAGACAGGTGTCCCTCCGGCCTGGGATTCACGACGTGTGCCGGGAGGTGTTGGGGTTTGGGTCACCGAGATGTGGGTGCTGCAGCTGTGAGCTGGGTGGGTCTGTTTCTGGGCTGGAGCGTGGCGTCCGCGTGTCTGAGTGGACAGCTCAGCATCGGGCCTCTCAGAGCAGGACGCCGCGGCCTCGCTGTCCCGTCACCCAGCCAGCCCCGGCACGCCCTCGGCCTTGCTCGGCCCCATCCGAGGCGTCCCCGTCACCGAATCTTCCGTCCGTGGGTCCACTCCCTGAATGCCCACAGCGGGCAGGCTGAGGTCAGGAGCCAGGAAGCCCGGCCCCTGTGGGTGGCAGGGACCCAAGGGCTCGAGCCGCCGGCAGCTGCCTCCCGGGCTGGCATTAGCAGGAGGCTGGGACTTGATCCCCGAGACTGGTCTGGGCGCGCGTGTCTCCAGGGGCAGCTTCATGGTGGCGCCACAGTGCTGGGCCCAGCTTTGCCAGGGCTTCCTGCACTGCGCCCTGTGGGTGACGCCAGGCAGGCTAGCGTTTCTGTCGTCCTGAATCCTGCTACAGACATGCTCCATCTCCGTGGCAGGGTGGGGCCGGAATCCTTGTGATGATTGTTTGGCGTCACTGTGCGCACGCGTGGTGCGCGGTCTGCCCCGGCCCCGGAAGCCGTGTGGTTTACCCGTAGACGATGGCAGTGCTGCAGGTGTGACGCTGGAGTTACTGAGGGCCAGGGATGTCCGTTCTAGCTGGCTCACAGCTGAGTCACTGGGGCTGTTAGATCCCGTGTGTGTGTAACGTCTATTTTATTCATCTGAAAGGCAGAGAGACTGAGGGAGAGACCTCTGCCGTCTGCTGGTTCAGTCCCTGAGTGACAGCAGTGGCCAGGGCTGGGCCAGGCTGAAGGCAGCGCCGGGAGCTCCAGTCCGGTCTCCCCTGTGGGTGGCAGGCACTGTAGCGGGGCAGTAGGGCGGCCGGGGCCTGAACCAATGCTATGGTGAGGGAGGCTGGCGCTGCAGGCTGCGACTTAACCTGCCGCTCCGCAGGGCCGGCCCTGTGGGGTGGGTTGGTTTGTTTTTTTAATTTGAAAGGCAGAGAACCAGAGACAGACACGGGGAGGTCTTCAGATGCCTGCAACACCGGGCCCAGCCCGGAGGAAACCAGGAGCCCGGAACTCAACCCCCGCTGCTGGCGGGGATGGCAGGCTGTGCGCCCGCACGAAGCCACGGCGCTGGGTCTGGAGCCCGGCGCCTGGGACGGGGTGGGGGTGGGGGGCGTCTGGGAGGGGGTGAGGGGTGCACCTGGGATGGGGTGAGGGCGGGGGGCACCTGGGACGGGGTGAGGGCGGGGAGCGTCTGGGACGGGGTGAGGGCGGGGAGCGTCTGGGACGGGGTGGGGGGCACCTAGGACGGGGTGAGGGCGGGGGGCGTCTGGGACAGGGTGGGGGGCACCTAGGACGGGGTGAGGGCGGGGGGCGTCTGGGACAGGGTGGGGGGGCACCTAGGGGGGGTGGGGGGGGGCCCGAGCAGTGTGGTGAGGACTAGGCCAGGCGCTCGGCGCTGCTCCGTCTTGTTTTCCGAGAGGAGTGCGAAGCCAGGGTCCAGATGGCGCTGCGAGGAGGACCACCCTTCCCGCCCTCTTTTGGGGTCAGGTTGAGGAGCAGGCGCTGTGGCCACTTTGCTGTTTCACGTGGTGTGTGGTGTTGGATGAGACGGTTGGAGGCAGGAGCCGCGGCAGCTCTGCGGGCGGTGGGAGTCCCTCACCGGGAGGAGCCGGCTTTCCCAGGCGCGGCTGATGGCGGTGCCCTGCTGCTCCCGCTGGCTGCTGGGATTGGACTTCCAATAGGGTAGGGAGGGAGGGAGGCGGGGGCAGCCTTGGGGCTTGGGGTGGAGACGCTGGCTGAGACGCCCATGGCCCACGTTGGGCACCGGGTTTCGGTGTCTGGCCCTGGCTCCCGACTGCAGCTTCCTGCGGCTGCGTCTTGGGGACAGCGTGATGGTTCGGGTAATGGGTGCCTAGCACCCGAGGGGCCTGTTGATTGCAGGCGTTTGGGGAGTGGGCCTGTGAGTGGGCGTGTTCTCCTCTGACTCTGCCTATCAGGATGAAGCGGGGGAGGGGAGGGCAGCGGTCAGTGCAGGCTGTGGACTGTGAGGGGTTAGTCGAGGGCAGTGGGGGGGTGGGGCGCATCCTCTGGAGCGGCAGTAATGAGATTCACTCGTTCCTTAGCTGCTCACTCAGTTATGTGAGAGGCAGAGAGCGAGCGAGCTCGTCCGTCCACGGTTCACTCCAGGCGGGTGCAGCTGGGGCTGGGCCAGCACCTGCATCCGCTCTCCCGTGCAGGAGGGGCAGGCCCGGCTCTGGAGTCGTGGGCCGCCGTCTTCCCGGGCAGGGTTGGTGACAAGGGCGGCTAACGTGGCGTGGCACGGCCCTGGCACGGCCGTGGTTTTCTCCACTGCCCCGCGAGGAGGTGTTTTCTCTCTGCTTTGCTGTTCCGGAGTGCTCGGCACTGATACACAGGTGTCTCCCGTTCGTGACTGATGTGTCCGGGCGCCCCGCACGAGCTGCCGGGGCGAATGGCGTGCGTGTGATTCCGTTAGAGGACGCTCGCTGCCTTCCGAGGGGTCTGTTGCTCCGCCCGCTGGAGTCTGAGTGGCTGTGACGGAGTGGGCAGCACGGTGTCACCAAGCCCGCGGGGAAGCTGTTGTGTACTTGGCTGAGGGAGGGGGCAGGGCAGCTCTGTGCTTCCGGGCTCCTTGGGTGTGTGCGCTTTCCTTTGTTGATGGGGGGGCTGACCCAGGCAACGGAGTGTCGTCCCCCCCACCCCCCCCCAATCCACAGAAGCTGGGGACTGCGCTTCCCGCAAACCCGGAAGGCCTGGGGTCGAGCTCCGGGCCGGGCCGTCTGGGTTCCCGTGCCCCTCTGCTGGCTCCAGCCCTTTGCAGGCCCGCCCAGGTTCTCGCCCGGCTCTGGGGCAGCTGTCTGCTTCCTCAGGGTCTGCTTTGGTCTCCTGTGTTAACCCTTAGTCGTCCTCTCCCGCGTTCCAAGCCCCGCTGGCGCTGCCTGGCGGCTCTGCAGGTGTGTGCCTGCTCCTGGGTGTTGCCTCCCAGAGCGAGCTGTGTGCACAGTCCCCTGTTCCCAGCCGTCCCCTGTTGAAGTGACGCTGAACCCGCACCTCCTCCCGCCTCTCTACCTCTGGGACTTGGACAGGGAAGTGGACAAGACCGGTACCGGGGCAGGCCTGCTCCATCAGGAAAGAGCTTGATCCTGGCTCGAGTCTCAAGGTCTGGGGCTCTCATCTGGCGATGGCTTCTTGCTGGTCAGAGTCCCAGGGCAGTGCAGGCCTCGCGCATCAGGAGACAGGTGGCCGTCTGTCTGTGCAGGTGTCCAGTGATCCCTGGCCTCTCCTCATCAAGCCTCCGGGCTTCAGGGGTGTCCCCGCTAGTGATCTAGTCGTTCCTGAACGCCCACCTCCAAACGCTGTGGCCAGGTTGTGTGTCCACCCTCTCGGTTCCCTCAACGTCTGGTTTGGGGTCAAGCTCCTGCCTGAGTCCAGGGGACATGGTCGGGGGCTGTGGGGCACCCACAGTGTCACTGTTCCTGCTGAGCCCAGGGGACATGGTCGGGGGCTGCGGGGCACCCACAGTGTCGCTGTTCTGCCTGAGCCCAGGGGACATGGTCAGGGGCTGTGGGACACCCACAGTGTCGCTGTTCTGCCTGAGTCCAGGGGGACATGGTCAGGGGCTGTGGGACACCCACAGTGTCTCTGTTCTGCCTGAGTCCAGGGGACATGGTCAGGGGCTGCGGGGCACCCACAGTGTCGCTGTTCTGCCTGAGTCCAGGGGCACGTGGTCGGGCTGTGGTCTCTGAGAGCTGTGCCAGGGCGGCCTCCCCGTGGTGAGGGACGCAGACGTCAGCCGAGGGCAGCGGCACTGGGCAGTGTCCAGGAGCTCCCGCTGTGGAACGGGCCCCACTGCGTCCTCCATCACACTGCTGGGGCCTCTGCAGCGGCAGAGTGGTACTGGGTGGCCCTGGCCCCTGCCCTGTCACTGCTAGCTGGGTGCTGGGGCTCTAGGCCCCGGGTCTCCCTTGACCTCCCGAGACAGGGCAGGCGAGCTGGCTGTGTTTGGGCAGTGTGTGTCCCACACTCAGGAGTGAGCGCTGCCGTGTGTGGGGTGGCGGCAGCACGAGGCCCGGCTGGTGGCCCTGGGGCGCAGGCTCATTCTCGGGTGTCTTGCAGGTGTCTGTTGGCCTGGACAGTGTGTAGCGGGGCAGTCAGGCGCAGGCGTGGCTTCCCGGTGTGGCTGCACTTGGGAGGAGGGGTGCTGGGAGCCTGTTCACCTTCCTCCAGGGAGCTTGCCGTGCCCTGGGCTCCCGGTGGCTCTGAGCGCCCCTGAAGGCTTGGGCTGGGATGACGGTGGACGCCAGGATTCTCTCAGCCCTCAGCGGTTTCCTGTGGCACTTAGACTCGTCACTTAGGCTGGCTGGGGCAGGGCGCCCCGCATGCCAGGCCCGTGGGGCGTGCAGACTTCAGTGTGGGTGTGATGGCGGTGTCCTCGGTGGGGGAGGAGAGTCCGCGTGGGGTTCTGTAGTTTGAGGGGCGCACACTGGGGCCTCCTCAGACTCTGCTGGGCGGTGTTAGGCAGCTCGCGGCTTCCTCTTGGTGACGGGCTGTGCTTAGGAACACAACTCTGTGTAGCCAACAGTTATGTGTGGGGAGGGCACATTGCAGATCTGATGCCCTCGGCTGCCACGTGACCACGCCCAGTGGCTGCAGCTGGGGGCGGCCCTGAGGCCCTGAAGGCCCTCCTCGGACTGCCCGGCCCAGCGTGGGCGGGGTGACTGCAGGTGCCTGGTGCAGTCCTGCTCCCTCTCCCGCCAAGCCTCGAGTTCCTGAGGCTCTCTTACTGACTGCGTTCCTTTAGAATTCTGTATTTGTGGCTGTTTTGGTGCTGGGCATAGTGAGCTCAGCTGTCTCCTATGGGGACAGGTTTCTGGTAGGTGGGGTGGATTCTGGGGACACCGGTCAGGGGGGAAGGGGGCTGGGAGAGGCTGCTTCGTTAGGACAGTGGGAACTGCTTGGACGGCAGGGTCAGGACCACCGAGCTGGCCGGCTTGGGGCTGGAGCAGCCTCGCTGGACGGGGTGGTGAGGTGTTCCCCGGATCTGAGGGCCCCTCCCATGTTTGGGGTACACATGCCCATGTGTCCAATGGAACCTGTTCAGAAAATGCCCACCCTCATCCTGTCGGACGTGGGTTCTATGCACTTGGAGTTTATCTGCCTTGATCCACTTGGCGGTGGGGGGGTCTACACTGCTGGGGGCTGTGCTTGAGGGGGGACCAGCCCCGGAGCCCCGCCCAGTGATCACTGCTGGCTGCTGCTGCCCGGAGCCCCATCCAGTGGTCACTGCTGGTGCTGCTTCTCTCAGACGTGGCCTGGGAGGGATTTGAGGCACAGCCCAGGTGGGACTCGAGGCGACAAGGATTCCTCCAGGTTTAGGAGGACCGAGGCCGGCTCCCCGGCACAGGGGAGCACGCAGGTGGTGCTGCCCTGGTCTTCAGCATTTGAGAACGAGAGCCCGCAGGCCTGCGGTGACCGCTCCCAGCGAGGGCCGGGAGAGTCTGCAGCCAGGCACGGCCGCCCGCAGGCGCAGGGGTGGCTTCCTTCTGGAAACCTGAGTTTGGGGCGCTGGGGCTAGAGAAGGTGTGGGCTCCTGCAACACCCCGTGCTCTGGAGGGCCTGACCAGGGCGGCCCGGAATCGGGCTCAGGGCGGTGCCAGCTCCGTCGTGGGGGCTTCAGGCTCAGCCTTGAGTGCTTGTGGGCAAGCTCCTCCGTGGGGGCTCTGGGCCTTGAACCCCTGACTCTGGAGGGAAGAGGAAGTGCTGCGAGGTGAGGCTGCAGAGGCTGAGGGCCGGGCATCGGGTGGAGTGAGTGCACCGGCTGCCTGCGGCGCCCTAGTGGGCGATGGCCAGCTGTCCTGCCTGGGGCCTGGTTCCTCAGACCCTGGGGTCAGCCCCGGGACAGGTTTGCCTGGGAGGCTTGCAGGCGCTGGGGCTCCTCTGGGCCCTGGTGGGCTCTCCTGGGCTGGATGTCATCTTGGAAGCCGAGGCCACCACTCCTGGATACTGTGGCCGCGTTTGTCACAGCTGCGTGATTAGCCGGTGGGGACAGCGCTGCTGGCCCAGCTGGCAGTTTGCTTGCATGATGGCGCACTCTGGGAACTTGGACTCCTCTTGCCCCAGAGCCCAAGAGTCTTGCGCCGGCTGGGGACACAGCCCGGAGGCCCGTCCCTTTCTTCTGTCCTTTAGTTCCTGTGTCCATGAGAAGCCCAGGAGCCCCGTTTGGTCCATGCACTGGGGACGGCATTCTGCCAGGTCTCAGTCCCTGTCTGAACTGGCACCTGGTACCCAGCTGTGGGAGGCAGGTGCCCTGCGGCCGCCTGTGGGGACTGGCAGCTGCCACACCCTTGGTGACAGAGCGGGGACAGCTGCTCGGGGGAGGCGAGTGTGGCTGTGTGCACCTGTGTGGCACCTTCCCTTAGGCAGAGGCCGTGTCACCCCTACCTGGGAGATTCCTACGGAACTCAAGTGGGGAGCGATGGCTCGAACCCTGGCCCCTGGTTAGGGGGAGGGGTGGATGGGAGCTTTGTTTCTCGCTGAGCCAGCTGGCAGACGTGAGAACTTTGTGGCTGGGGACCGAGGATCGAATTCATGCGTGTGCTGCGCCTCACAGAGACTCGATGGTGCCCTGACACTGTGCCAGCTGAGGGCCAGAGCTTCGTACCGCCCACAGCCACCCACCCCGTGTCTCCACCTGGTTCCTACCATTGCGAGCAGAAGTGAGGTTCGCTCAGCCGTTGACGGTGTTTCGGTTCTTGGCGTGGCTGTGCTGGCGTGGCCTCATGCTCGGTGGCGGGAGGAAGGGGCACATGTGGGCCAGTGGGGTCCAGGGGCTCCGTGCTAGCGGTCACGTCCTGGTGAACCCACTGCGTTGAAATGTGCCTTACGTCATCCACCCGCGGTGTGCATCCTCGGGCCTGCCTGGAACGAGCCGGGACCCTTACTCAGCCTGCAGCTGGAGAAAGCCGGCAGCTGTGGCTGTTTTATGGTAAAGGGCTGGTTCGCGCGGTACTGACGGCCTGATGGACGCTTGGAGGCCGAGCCCTCATTGTTTGCAGGTGGCCGCGTGTGGCTTCAGGGTCTGGAGGGGCCGTCACTGCCTCCTGGCTGCTCACCGGGGGTCTCTCTGGCTTGCAGGACCGTGGTGAGGAGGTGCACAGCCCTGACCTTCACGGCCTCCGAGGAGAAGGTCCTGGTGGCCGACAAGTCGGGCGATGTCTACTCCTTCTCTGTGTCGGAGCCTCACGCCAGCGGCCAGCTTCAGCTCGGGCACCTGTCCATGCTGTTGGATGTGGTACGTGGGAGTTACCTCTGCTCTCCGTGCTCAGGAGTGGCCGTGGGCGAGGGGTGGCCCCAGGTAGGGGTGATGAGGTGGAGGGAGCCCCGAGCAGGAGCCCTGAACTCATCCTCTGCTCCAGGGCCGTTCCCCCAACCCCCCGCAAGCAGGTCACCCGCAGACACCCGAGGCCCGCAGTCCCAGGTGGTGGAGCCACGGTGGGCCCAGCAGGGGCAGTGGGGGAGGCAGGTACAGGAGGTGGCGGCTGGGTGGGTCAGCTGGCGGGGGCGCTGGGTCCAGACTGCCCGGCAGAGGACAGGCATCAGCTGGGACCCCCGGCCTCAGGAGCATGGAGCTAGGGGATGAGGGCTGGGACGCGGGGATGCGGGGACCACCCCGAGACGGAGAGGGGGTCCGGCACCAGACTCAGGAGGGCAGGAGCCCGCGCCCACGCCCTGGGTCTTCGTCCTCCCTGCTGGGGGGACAGGGGTGCTGTCAGAGACCAACGAGCGGCTTCCTTCTCTCCCCTGCGCCGCAGGCCGTGAGTCCTGATGACCGATTTGTGCTCACCGCAGACCGGGACGAGAAGATCCGGGTGAGCTGGGCCGTGGCACCGCACAGCATCGAGTCCTTCTGCCTGGGCCACACCGAGTGAGTGCCCGCCCTCCGCAGAGCTGTGCCCCGCCCCGCCCCCGCACCCAGTCCCCCCGCAGTACCCCTGCCCCGCCCCCACGCCCAGTCCTCCCGCAGTACCCCTGCCCGCGCCCCCGCACTGAGTCCTCCCGCGGTACCCCTGCCCGTGCCCCCGCACTGAGTCCTCCCACAGTCTCCCTGCCCGCGCTCCCACACTGAGTCCTCCCACAGTCTCCCTGCCCGTGCCCCCACACTAAGTCCTCCCGCGGTAGCCCTGCCCACACCCCCACACTGAGTCCTCCCATGGTACCCCTGCCCACACCCCCACACTGAGTCCTCCCATGGTACCCCTGCCCGTGCCCCCACACTGAGTCCTCCCGCGGTACTCCTGCCCGCACCCCCCACACTGAGTCCTCCCATGGTACCCCTGCCCGCGCCCCCACGCTGAGTCCTCCCGCGGTAGCCCTGCCCACACCCCCACACTGAGTCCTCCCGCGGTCCCCCTGCCCGCGCCCCCACGCCGAGTCCTCCCATGGTACCCCTCCCCACACCCCCACGCTGAGTCCTCCCGCAGTACCCCTGCCCGTGCCCCCACGCCGAGTCCTCCCGCGGTAGCCCTGCCCACACCCCCACACTGAGTCCTCCCGTGGTACCCCTGCCTACACCCCCACGACACCCCCACACTGAGTCCTCCCATGGTACCCCTGCCCGTGCCCCCACACTGAGTCCTCCCGCGGTACTCCTGCCCGCGCCCCCACACTGAGTCCTCCCATGGTACCCCTGCCCGCGCCCCCACGCTGAGTCCTCCCGCGGTAGCCCTGCCCACACCCCCACACTGAGTCCTCCCATGGTACCCCTGCCTACACCCCCACGACACCCCCACACTGAGTCCTCCCATGGTACCCCTGCCCGCGCCCCCACGCTGAGTCCTCCCGCGGTAGCCCTGCCCACACCCCCACACTGAGTCCTCCCGCAGTACCCCTGCCCGCGCCCCCACGCCGAGTCCTCCCATGGTACCCCTCCCCACACCCCCACGCTGAGTCCTCCCGCAGTACCCCTGCCCGTGCCCCCACGCCGAGTCCTCCCGCGGTAGCCCTGCCCACACCCCCACACTGAGTCCTCCCATGGTACCCCTGCCTACACCCCCACGACACCCCCACACTGAGTCCTCCCATGGTACCCCTGCCCGCGCCCCCACGCTGAGTCCTCCCGTGGTACCCCTGCCCACACCCCCACGCCGAGTCCTCCCGCAGTCCCCCTGCCCGCGCCCCCACACTGAATCCTCCTGGGGTACCCTGCCCCCGCCCCACCCTAGCCTGGGGATGAGTCTTGTTCCTGGAAAACTCTCCACGTGGGTGCCTGTGGCTGAGCCCAGCGGTGTCCGAGGGGGGGCACCCTGTGGGTTGAGCAGTCTGGAGCAGGCGTGCCTTACCTTGGGTCTGTGGCTCCTGGCCGGTGAGCTGTCGGAGGTCTGGGGAGGCGTCGTGGACCGTCCATCAGCCCTTCTGGGGGAGGTGCTGATGCGTGTCTGGGAGAGGCTGATGGGCTGCATCGGCCGGGGCGTGGTCCCGGGGTCCGTCGCCTGGGGCTGTGGCCGTCTTGGTCTGCGTGAATGCACTCTGCGGTCCTCTAGGCCGCGGCCTGTGGCTGAGCGGTGTGTGACACCCCGGTATCTGAGCAGTGGAAGAAGTCGGGGAGCGAATTCGACTCCAAGACTGCTCTGTGTTCTTGAGGGGGCGGATACGGAGATTGGCTTCGAGGGAGGTGTGGTACCCAGCCTGTCCATCGCGAGGGCTCGTTCTTGGGTCTCCCAGTTCCCTAGGGACCCAGCTGGGGCTTCTCGTGTCTGGAGCCCTCGGCCATCTCCCCCTGCTCGGCCCTGCCAGATGCCGGCTTCGGCTTCAGGGCCTTTGCATGTGCTACCCCCAGCCAGTGCCCACCCCTTGCCGCCTCAGTGCGCTGTGCGACTTCGCCTGAGTCTGGGGCAACGTGGAGGTAGCACCGAGGCTCCTCATTGGTTTCTGCAGGTTTAAAGTGTGCCCGTGGCTGGCCTTGAGGCGCGCGCTGTCTGCTGGGTGGTGCTGCCCTCAGCCCGTCGTGGACACGCGTGTCCAGTGACCCTGTGACCCCTGGTGTCCTGGGGCTTTTGTTGCGACTCTCTCTAACACAGGAAGTGGCTCAGTGGCTGTTTCCGTGATGGGATAAATGCTGGGCAGGGCTGGGGACCAGGGGACCTCATGTCACCACCCGTGATTGCTTGAGGGGACCTTGTGTTGCCATCCATGATTGCTTGAGGTCCGTGCCTTCGGCCTGGGAGGACAGCAGGGAGACTTGTCAGCCCTGCAGGTGACAGACCCATGTGGGCTTTGTGGAGAGCCAGGCCTCAGGGTCGCTCTTGCCAGCTGAGCCGGGCGTGGCGGGCAGTGTTGGGCCGGCGGGGACAGGTTGCCAGCCACACAGGACTGGGACATCGGGGCTGCGTTGTCCTTGAGGGACTGGACTGCGGTCCAACTCAGCTTGTCAGTGTGGACCCTTGCCCCCTGCCCCCTGCCCCCGTGCTGGGCTCACCAGGGCCTCCGTGCAGGAGTCTCGGGGAGAGGTGGGGAGCGTGTTGCGGTGTCGCTGAGCTCCGCAGCTGGGCAGGGCGGACTCTGGGGTCTTTGTGGCAGGTGTGCCTGGGCACCTCAGCTGGGCCGGCCCTATGCTTCTCCGAGCTGCCAGAGGCCGTCACCTGGTTACCCTGGGCTTGGGGAGCAGGGCCTGTGCTGCCTGGAGACCATCACCTGGTTAGCCTGGGGCCTGGGGAGCAGGGCCTGTCCTTCCTGGAGGAGTGGGTGGGTCCCTGAGTGGCAGACATGTGCGTGTCCCGTTACACGGCTGACCCTCTGCCCCTGTCCTGCTACAGATTTGTGAGTCGCATCTTTGTGGTTCCCGGGCACCCTGGGCTGCTGCTGTCGTCCTCTGGGGTGAGTCACCGCGCCCCTCCCAGCATGGGGAGAGCAGCCTCCACCCCTGTCTGCGTCTCAGAGATGCGTGCACGCATGTGTGTGGTGTGTGTGTGTGCACGTGTGTGTCGGCTGTGTGCAGTGTACGGGGTGCACGTCTTCTCAGGCTGCCATGCCTTCGGGGTGTTGGGGTCCCAGGTGGGAGCACGTGACAGGGAGACCCTCACATTGGCTGCGGAGCTCAGCTTCCTGGCCGTGCAGTGGCCGCGGGTGGCGCGCCCCAGGCGTCTCGGGACCCGGCTGCGGTGTGCGCTCAGCGGACTCCCGCGGGCGGTCCGAGTCTCCCTCTGCCTTGCCCCCGCTCTTGGTCTTCCCCGCTGCTGTTGCATCCTGGGATGGCCGCCCCTGGCGTGGTCCAGTGAAGGCAGTACGTCTCTGGCGTCCTGCAGGCTGGACCATGGCCGAATCTGTCCCACGCTGTGTTCCGTGTGGTTTCCCCTCTGGGTCTCCTGCCCCTCCGCTTCAGAGTGGGGTCTGCTGTCATGCAAGCAGAGGGAATGGGACCCCCGTGCCTGCCTCACGACTGAGCTCACTGCTTTGCCCCTGCTCCGGGCCCCTGGGCCCCTGGGCCCCGCTGGCCTGTGCGGCCAGCCCGTTTGTGCCTCTGCCCCGTGAGGTCTGCTCTCTCTGTCCTCTCCTCACCGGGCGTCTGCTGGAGGCTCCTGGCTTCTCGCCCTGGTGGAGAGGTCTGGGAGCGAGCAGAGGCCTGTCGCTGTATGTTGGTCTCCGTGTTTATCTGCCAGATTCGCAATGGTGCAGGTGCGTGCGTGCACATGTGTGACGTGTACCGTGATGTACGTGTCTCACGTGTGTATCATGATGTGCGTCTGATGTGTGTATCATGATGTGGGTGCACATGTGACATATATCATGACGTGCGTGTCTACATGTGTGATGTGTGTGTCGTGATGTGGGTGCACATGTGACGTATATCATGACGTGCATGTCTACATGTGTGATGTGTGTGTCGTGATGTGGGTGCACATGTGACGTATATCATGACGTGCATGTCTACATGTGTGTGTATCATGATGTGGGTGTACATGTGACTACCATGACGTGAGTGGACACGTTTGGCGTGTATCCTGTGTGACGTGTATTGTGATGTGTGTCTGCCTGTGTGTGCTCACAGGCAGCCCCCAGAGGACGCTGCCGCCCGGGAACAGACTGGGATAACTCCCGTCCATCTCTCTTCCCGGCATTTGAAGATGGTCACAAGTAACGCCGTGGCCTGGTGGCTTCAGAGCCCAGCGGTGTTGGCTCTGTGTCGGTGATGAGCCCACAGGGGCCTGGAGTCTGCCCCGGCCTTGTGCCTGGCTGGTTCACCGTCCCCCTGACCGTGCGGCTCTGATTGGCCTGAGCTCTGGCTGTCACTGGGGGAGCGGGCCCCGAGCACAGCCTGCCGTCCTCAGTGGCCTGCACCCCTCCAGGCCCGTGTGCTGACGCGGTCTCTGTGTGCAGGACTCCACCCTGCGGCTGTGGGAGTACAGGAGTGGCCGCCAGCTACACTGCTGCCACCTGGCCGGTCTGCAGGAGCCCGCGGAGCCAGGGGGCCACCAGGTAGTGTGCTTGGCTCGGGGCTGCCTCTCCTGTCCCTGTGGGGGAGGGGTCTGCTGGCCACACCGGATGGAGTGGGAGAAGCTGTGCACGTCAGCTTCTGTAGGCACCAGTAGTGTGCGTGGGAAGCTGCTGCGTTTATACAGCTCAGAATTGGGGGAAGCCAGCCAATAGGGTCACGGCTGGGGATGCCCCGGCTCTGTGCTGACGTGCCTGGGAGGCAGTACCTGCCACCCACGTGGGCGACCAGCCCTGCTGTGGTGGGCATCTCGGTGGTGGACCAGAGTGCCCTCATCTCTGTCTGCCTTTCAGATCAGTGAAAGGTTTGGGAAGCAGTGACGCTAGGCAGCTAGGCAGAGAGCAACACGTGCATTTGTCAGCCCGGGCAGGGGCGGGGCGGCGGGCCCTCCCAGCGTCCTCTCCGCCATGGCGAGGCCTCGTGGCACCGTGGTGCATGCACTGGCTCAGGATTTGCTCTCCTGCTGGACCCTAGAAGTCAGCTCTTTTTTTTTTTTAATATTTATTTATTTCGAAGGCAGACTTCCAATGCTAGCGACAGGTACAGCTGGGCCAGGCTGACGCCCAGGTCTCCATGTGGGTGGCAGAGGTCCAAGCCCTTGAGCCATCTGCCTTCCAGGGTGTGCATCGGCAGGAAGTTGGGTTGGAAGTGGAGTAGCTGGGACTCGCACCCGGCGCTCTGGTGCGGGACGCAGGCGTCGCAGGCAGCGAGACAGCTGCGGTGCCCGTGCCCGCTCCCGGGCCTGCCTTTTGACCAGAGCCTCCTCTCGGTCACCGCCTCAGTGTGTTGGAGTTACTTGAGGAACATGGAGTCGGTACCTCTCCTCCCACACTGGTCTCTAGAATGTTCTCACAGTGTCTCCTCTCCTTGTCGTGTGGGCACTGTCTTGCGGTTTTGCTCTGGGGGTGGGCAGGTGGGCTCAGCCCGGGTCCCCGCAGGTGATGTACAGGAAGTGGCCCTGGGGGTGGGCAGGTGGGCTCAGCCCGAGTCCCTGCAGGTGACGTGCGGGAAGTGGCCCTGGGGGTGGGCAGGTGGGCTCAGCCCGAGTCCCTGCAGGTGATGTACGGGAAGTGTCCCTGGGGTGGGCAGGTGGGCTCAGCCCGGGTCCCCGCAGGTGATGTGCAGTAACTGGCTGTCTTTCCCAGCAGAGGCTTGCGGCGTCCAGGATCGCGTTCTGGGCCCAGGAGGACTGTGTGGCGCTGCTGTGTGACTGGTGAGTGGTGAGGTGCTGCTCCCTGGGTGCCCCGGCAGGGGGCTGAGGGCTCTGAGCTGCGCTCTCGGTGTTGCAGCTGTGGCCTAACTGGAGTCGAGTGGCCCTCACTGGTCTCCCGTGTGCTGCAGGGCTCCCCCGTGGCCCCCGCTGGTCTCCTGTGTGCTGCAGGGCTCCCCCGTGGGCCCCGCTGGTCTCCCGTGTGCTTCAGGGCTCCCCCGTGGCCCCCGCTGGTCTCCCGTGTGCTGCAGGGCTCCCCCGTGGCCCCCGCTGGTCTCCCGTGTGCTGCAGGGCTCCCCCGTGGCCCCCGCTGGTCTCCCGTGTGCTGCAGGGCTCCCCCGTGGGCCCCGCTGGTCTCCCGTGCAGGGCTCCCCCGTGGGCCCTGCTGGTCTCCCGTGTGCTGCAGGGCTCCCCCGTGGGCCCCGCTGGTCTCCCGTGCAGGGCTCCCCTGTGGGCCCCGCTGGTCTCCCGTGTGCTGCAGGGCTCCCCCGTGGGCCCCGCTGGTCTCCCGTGTGCTGCAGGGCTCCCCCGTGGGCCCCGCTGGTCTCCTGTGTGCTGCAGGGCTCCCCCGTGGGCCCCGCTGGTCTCCCGTGTGCTGCAGGGCTCCCCCGTGGCCCCCGCTGGTCTCCCGTGCAGGGCTCCCCCGTGGGCCCCGCTGGTCTCCCGTGTGCTGCAGGGCTCCCCCGTGGCCCCCGCTGGTCTCCCGTGCAGGGCTCCCCCGTGGGCCCCGCTGGTCTCCCGTGTGCTGCAGGGCTTCCCCGTGGGCCCCCGCTGGTCTCCCGTGCAGGGCTCCCCCGTGGGCCCCGCTGGTCTCCCGTGCAGGGCTCCCCCGTGGGCCCCCGCTGGTCTCCCATGTGCTGCAGGGTTCTCCTGTGGGCCCCGCTGGTCTCCCGTGTGCTGCAGGGTTCTCCTGTGGGCCCCGCTGGTCTCCCGTGTGCTGCAGGGCTTCCCCGTGGGCCCCCGCTGGTCTCCCGTGCAGGGCTCCCCCGTGGGCCCCGCTGGTCTCCCGTGCAGGGCTCCCCCGTGGGCCCCGCTGGTCTCCCGTGTGCGGCAGGGCTCCCCCGTGGTTGATGGTGGCTGTCACCCCGTCTGGGCTGTGACAGCCCCGGAGGCTGGGATGCTGCTGGGGGGGGGGGGGGCGGGAGTGTGGTTCAGCTGAGTCCTGAGCCGACACAGCCACCGGTGCTTTCTGCACGGCTCCCTCGTGCTGGGGGCAGCCGGGGGCGGGGTCTCAGTTTGATGGGGAAGCAAGGATCCAGTTAAGACTGGAAAAGCTGGCCATGCGGTGCTGAGCCTTCTGCCTGCTGCCCCGCAGGAGGGGCCCTCGGATCCCGCTGTCCTTGTCCTGTGCCGGTCACCGTTGTCAGGTGACGCAGCACGTCACCCCAGCCCTCAGGGGTTTACCAGACGCAGGTCGGGTCAGGGCCCCTCCCCCTGTGCTCTGTCCTCACCGTCCTCCCCCCGCGGACAGCGTCCCTGTGGTCTACATCTTCCAGCTGGACGCCGCCGCCCGGCAGCTGGTGTTCAGGCAGCCCATGACCTTCCAGCACCGCGTGTGGGACGTCGCGTTCGAGGAGGCCCAGGGGCTCTGGGTCCTCCAGGACTGTCCCGAGGCCCCGCTCGTGCTCTGCAGGCCCGTGGGCGGCCAGTGGCAGGTGAGACGTGGGCCCTGGGCGCCGGCGGCCTGTCCCCGGGCGCTCCCATGGTGCTTTGGGGCACAGAGGGCTCGCCACCTTGCTCCTGGGACTCCCCGGCCCCGGGTCTCAGGCGAGAGGTCAGTGCTGTGGCCTGGAGGGTGTCGTTCACGGGTGCAGCCTTGTGCCCGGGGCGGTCGTGGGACACTGTAGAGCCCCCACGGCGCGCCCTAGCCCTGCCGCTGTGCGTGTCCGGGTGCTGGGAGCGGAGTCTGCAGTGTGGGGCCCTTTGGAAACCTGCATCCCTCCTACCCGAACCGCTCTGGCCGAGCTTTGGAAACGCTCTGCAACGTTTTGGCTACTTTGGTCAGCACTGAGCCCGGGAGCTGCCGGGCCCGCGGGCTCCTGGGTGGTAGGGGAGCCGCCTCAGGACAGGATGCCTGCCTGCCAGTGTTCCCGGGACGGGCCCCCCACCCCGTGGTGGCGCTGCTTGGTCCTGCCTACCGCTGACGCGGGCGTCCGTTGTCCGCAGGCTGTCCCCGAGAGCGCCTCCGTGGAGAGACTCTCCCGTTGTCTCCGTGGGAACTGGGCCATGTTGGAAGGTGAGAACCACACAGGGCGACCGGCCTGCTTTGGAAGGGAAGACGGGGCTGTGTGCGACGGTCGCACGCTGACGCTCCAAACCACACAGTCTCTGGCCAGGAGCCACGGGCAGCTCCGTCCAGGGCTCGCAGGCTGCAGTCACCCCTCGTCCACCCCTTCCTGCTCTCTGGCCGGGGTGGGGGATTCGGCCCTTGAGCTGTAGACTGAGGGCCTGGCTTCCTCCGGGTCCCTGTCAGCCCAGCACTTCACCAACAGCCAGTGCGAGATGGAGATGAGATGCTGGCAGCGTGGGTGCCGCCCAGGCCTCCTGCTGTGTCTGGTAGAAGCAGGTGCCACTCCCCTCCCCTCCCCCCTACTGTGCAGTCCCGACTCCCTGCTGTGTCTGGTAGAAGCAGGTGCCTCTCCCCCCTCCCCTCCCCTCCCCCCTACTCTGCAGTCCCGACTCCCTGCTGTGTCTGGTAGAAGCAGGTGCCCCTCCCCCCTTCCCTCCCCTCCCCTCCTGTCCCCTCCCCTCCCCTCTACTCTGAAATCCTGACTCCCTGCTGTGTCTGGTAGAAGCAGGTGCCCCTCCCCTCCCCTCCCCCCTACTGTGCAGTCCCGACTCCCTGCTGTGTCTGGTAGAAGCAGGTGTCTCTCCCCCCTCCCCCCTACTCTGCAGTCCCTACTCCCTGCTGTGTCTGGTAGAAGCAGGTGCCCCTCCCCCCTTCCCTCCCCTCCCCTCCTGTCCCCTCCCCTCCCCCCTACTCTGCAGTCCCGACTCCCTGCTGTGTCTGGCAGAAGCAGGTTCCTGGGGGTGGCCAGTGTGTAGGCTCTGGAGGCCCCGCAGGAAGGCACCTGCTTGCTGATTCCCACCTGCCCGTGTCCTTGTTCCCTGCCAGGCTCCGCGGGTGCCGACAGTGCCTTCCACGGCCTCTACAAGGCCACCTTCGACAACATGACGTCATACCTGAAGAAGAAGGAAGAGAGGCTGCGGCAGCGCCGCAGGAGCCCCCCGCCCGGACCCCAGGGCCTGGCCAAGAGGGGCAGGGTGGGCCCGGCGGCCCTGGGCTGCTGACCTTTGGCTTGGCGGTGGCGCTCCCATCTTCGCGGCACTGGAACCCGTTTCACCTGTTCCTCCCCGCCCTGGCGGCTGATGGATAAGCCGTGGTGACAGGCTGGACCAGCCACTAGCAGAGGACAGACGAGGACAGACGCGGCTCGGAACGCCGCGGCGCTGAGCCGGGCCTGCGCGCCCTGGCTGAAGGGAGCCGCGCAGTGCGTTCGCCTGGGTGAGGACAGTGTGGGCGAGCGGTGAGCGCCGCTCCTCACTCACCTTCACGTTGAGGGGACCGTGACGGCGGCCGCACGGCTGCGGCACGACGGCGGCTGGCTTCTCCTGTGCCCCGGTGCCGCTCAGCCTGGGTCCTGCGGGCCGGGCCGCCTGTCACACTTCCATGTCCTCGTGCTTGGAGGCCGGGGCCTGCGGCAGCCCTGGGGCTGCTGAAGCTCACATACTGTCAGGGCTCAGGCCCCCGTCCCTGCAGCCCCCAGGGCAGTGCCCCCCCAGACCCCGCCTCCCAGGGCGACGCCTGCGGCCAGGTGCGTGGCTGTCGCGGGTTCTGGGCCTCCACGGAGAGGAGCCCCGGCAGCCTCCTGGGGGCGTGTAGTGGCACGTGGCCTTGGCCTTGAGACGATGGAGCGGAGCCCCTTGGCGGGTGTGCTGCCTGAGATTCGGGAAGGCAGGCGCGCGAGCAGATTCGTCCCGGTCTCAAAGGTGGCAGCGGCCGCATGCCCTGGGGACACCTTAGGTGCGGGGTCTCACCCGCACAAAACCCTCTGCTTGAGCGTTCTCAGAAGTGCCTTGTTCTCTCCCAGCCCCGTCTGTCCTGGGCAGCCTCAGCCCCTGCACGAGGACCCGGGACGCCTGGCTCAGGGCCGCTGTCCGCCTGGTGGCTAAGACGCCAGAGCCTGGGTTCGCGCCCCGGCCCCAGCCGCGTTCACACCTGCTGAGGCCTGGGTGCTGGGTCCACACGTGAGGCCTGGATTGAGCTCCCAGCTCTGCGGTTCGCCCGGCCCCAGCCTTGGCCATTGCGGGCATCGGGGGAGTGAGCCAGCGAGGGGTAGCTCGTCCTGCTTCTGTCCCTGCCTTCTGGGTAAAACCATGGCTGTAGGAGGACTTCCGGTTTGGTCTTGCTGGTTTGACTGTGACCTGCCCAGGGCGCAGCCCTGTTGGGCGTGGGAGCTGGAATGATTTTTCATTTTGAAAAAGGTAAAGCTGGCTGGTGCCCCGGCTCACTAGGCTAATCCTCCGCCTGCGGTGCTGGCACACCGGGTTCTAGTCCCGGTTGGGGCGCTGGATTCTGTCCTGATTGCTCCTCTTCCAGTCCAGCTCTCTGCTGTGGCCCGGGAGTGCAGTGGAGGATGGCCCAAGTGCTTGGGCCCTGCACCCCATGGGAGACCAGGAGAAGCTCCTGGCTTCGGATCAGCATGGTGTGCTGGCCGTAGCGGCCATTTGGGGGGTGAACCAACGGAAAGAAGACCTTTCTCTCTGTCTCTCTCTCTCACTGTCCACTCTGCCTGTCAAAAAAGAAAAAGGTAAAGCTTGCACCTGTGACGCCGGCGTCCCTGTGGGTGCTGTTCACGTCCCAGCTGCTCCACCTCCAATCTGGCTCCCTGCTGAGGCCCAGGAAAGCAGTGGAGGATGGGCTTGGGCCCCTGCACCCACGTGACCCACGTGGGAGACCTGGCTTCAGCCTGGCCCAGCCCTGGCTGTCGTGCCCACGTGGGGAGGGAGCCAGTGGATGGAAGGCGTTTCTCTGTATGAACCTGACTTTCAAGCAAGAGAATAAAATCTTTTGAAAATGATGGAAGCAAATCAGAAGAGAAGTAATGTGACGGGGCGGTCATGAGAAATCCCAGCCCCATGTCCACGAGTGGACCTTTCCCCCGGCGGCCGTGCCTGCTGGCTGCTTGCTCACCGTCCTGGGGCTGCTGGGAGCTGCAGCCGCAGAAACCGACTCCCGCGGAGCCTCAGGTCTGCCGCACGCCCGGCGCAGGGAAGCTGGTCGGCCTGTGGCTTGAGATCCCTCTTAAATACGTGACTTAGAAATGAGCTTGTTGGGGCCGGCCTGTGGCACCAGCATCCCATATGGGCGTCGGTTGAAATCCTGGCTACTCCACTTCTGATCCAGCTCTCTGCTGTGGCCTGGGAAAGCAGTGGAGGATGGCCCAAGTCCTTGGGCCCCTGCACCCACGTGGGAGACCCGGGAGAAGCTCCTGGCTTCGGATGGGCGCAGCTCCGGCCATCGCAGCTATTCGGGGAGTGAACCAGCAGATGGAAGACTTTTCTCTGTCTCAGCCCCTCTCTCTCCATAACTCTGTCAAATAAGTAAATAAATCTTTTTTTTTTTTAAAATGAGCTTGTTTATTTCAGGGAAACCTCCCCTTGCCACGTGCGCTTTGCTCTTCCTTCTTGTTGGACAGTTGCCTCCTTGGCCCTTGCTGATCTGGGTGTTGGGCGCTGGACGGCGCCCCGAGGTGCCCGAGAGCTTCCTGCCCCGGCTGGAGGCCCCGACACCCTGGAAGGTGTCCAGCCCTGGCCCTGAGCCAGAGGAGAGTCCAGAGCTGGGAGGGAGTGTGGCTGTCACCTGTCTTCCCGCTGGCTGTGTTGGGACTTTGTAAAGTAAATATTCTTTTAAAAAATTCTGGAGGGCTGGCGCTGTGGTGAAGGGTAAGGCCACCAGCGCCGGCATCCCATACTGGCACCGTTCAAGGTCTGGCTGCTCCACTCCTGACCCAGCTCTGCTGGACCTCTCTCTGCCTTTTTATTTTCCTTTTAAAGATTTACTTATTTATTTGAAAGCGTTACACAGAGGAGAGGCAGAGAGAGAGAGAGAGTCTTCCATCTGCTGGTTTACCCCCCAACTGGCTGGAACTGCGCTGATCTGAAGCCAGGAGCCAGGTGCTTCTCCTGGTCTCCCATGGGGTGCAGGGCCCAAGCACTTGGGCCATCCTCCACTGCACTCCCGGGCCACAGCAGAGAGCTGGCCTGGAAGAGGAGCAGCCGGGTCTCAAACCAGCGCCCATATGGGATGCCGGTGCTTCAGGCCAGGGCATTAACCTGCTGCGCCACAGCGCCAGCCCCTCTAACTCTGCCTTTCAAGTAGATCTTCAAATTTTTTTGAAAGATTAATTTTATTTGAAAGGCAGAGTGAGGGGGACCGAGTGAGCTCATTGGCTGACTTCACCCCCGCGACGGCCACAGCGGCTGGAGCGTGCTGCCGTCCCCGTGACCGCCCCGGGGGGGGGGGGGGGTCTGGCCGCTCCGTCTCCCCTGCTGCCTTCACTGTTGGGACTTTCCTTGGACTTCCGCCACTTCCATTGAGTAGAGTCAGGTTATTTTTCTCCCGGAACCCGCACAATGGGGTTGCGCCCGCCGAACACCCGTGTTGTGCCGCTGAGAGGTGTTTGTCCTCAGCTGCGGAGCCCCAGGCCCGGCCCCAGCCCCTGTGCCCCCCACCCCTCCCCTCAGAACGCCGTTGGCTCTGACATCATCTGAGCTGTTTGGTGCCTGTGGCCTGTCTTTTGAGCCTGGTCCACACTGTCCTGTGGCTATTGGTGGTTTGTTCTCATTGCTGCACTGCCACGCCATGCTGTGAGACTGCCACGCCACCCCGTGTCACTCCCACGCCACCCTGTGACAGCCACACCACGCTGTGAGACTCCCACGCCACCCTGTGACATGGCCATGCCACGCTGTGTCACTCCCACGCCACCCTGTGATAGCCACACCATGCTGTGAGACTGCCACGCCACCCTCTGACAGCCATGCCACGCTGTGAGACTGCCACGCCACCCTGTGACAGCCACACCACGCTGTGAGACTGCTACGCCACCCTCTGACAGCCACGCCACCGTGTGACAGCCACGCCACCCTGTGTCACTCCCACGCCACCCTGTGACACTGCCACAGCGTCCCTTAGGCTGACGGGCATTTGGGGGTTTCCAGGTCTGGGCCGTGAGGGGTGGTGCGGAGCGTCCTGGAGCGTTCTGGAGCCTGTCTCGGAACACGGGGAGCATTCCTGGTGGGCCAGGCCAGGCACGACCTTGCGTTGGGGGCTGGTGTGGGGGCGGGGAAGCTGCCCTCCCAGCACCCAGGCCGGAACTTGCTCTTCTCCACAGTCACTGGAAGAACCGGACACTCACGGGGGCGGTGGCTGGGGCCCGCATAGTCGGGTGGCGTCTGGGGCGTGTAAGATGGGTCGCAGTCCCCCCACTCCATAGAGCGTGGACGCCGTCTCCATCTGCAACCCTGGCCCGCTCCGCGGCGACCCTCCCCTCCCCCCCAGGCTGCCCCCCCCCCCCATGTCTCCCAAGGCTTCAGCCTTGTCATGCAAGTCGCTGCTGTGTTCTGGGTGGGTCCTCGTGTGACGGAGCCACCTCTCTCCTGGCAGTGGGCGTCCACCGGCCCGGCTCTGCTGGTGGGAGGGTGAGTTTTCTCGCCGTGGGACTGCTTCTGCGGCCGTCTTATTTATTTGTTTGAAAGAGTTACAGGGGGAGAGGGGGAAACAGAGATCTGGTTCACTCCCATAATGGCCACATTGGCAGGGGCTGGGCCAGACCGAAGCCAGGAGCTTCTTCCGGGTCTCCCACGCAGGTGCCGGACCAAGTGCCTGGGCCATCTTCTGCTGCTTTCCCAGGCCACAGCAGAGAGCTGGATCAGTGGTGGAGCAGCGAGACTCGAACCCGTGTCCATGTGGGATGCTGCGTAGCCCGCTGCCCCACGGTGCCGGCCCCAGTGCCCATCGTCTTGGAGTGGCATCTTCGGAATTGTCTGTGTTCAGATGGACAGCATGACTTGTCTCCTGGCCTGGGCCGGGACTCCATTCTGTGGGGGTTGGGGTCCCCTGTGTGTGTGCCTTTTAGGCCTGACTCAGACCCCGGGCCCTGGGTGCTCTGTGGGCTTCTCCTTTGCAGGTTGGCTCAGTGCTGAGTTCTGTCACTAGGGGGAGCCAGAGAGACACTGCAGGAGGGAGGGCTGGTGGGCCCGGCATTGGGCTGCAGGGAGCCGGGGCACCCTCCAGGCATAGTCCCTCGGGCCCAGGGTGGCTTCCCCTGGGTGTGGCGCCCCGGCCAAGCCCCCTCCAGTGCGTCAGCCACACGCCTGCCTTCACGCCAGCTCTGGCTGGCTGCTGTGGGATCCTCAGATTCCTGCCTGTTTCTGGTGGCCGTGCCCTGGCCGCCGGGGCCTCTGTTCTGGATTCTCCAGTGTAGCTGTCGTCCTGCCGGTCACGTTTCTCCCCCAGGCTCTGCATGGGCTTGCCTGGTGTCCTCGGCTGCTTCTTAGCTTCCTGTCTTCCTGTCTTTGCCCCTGGCCTCTGACACTGCGGGGTGCATGTCTCCTGTTTGGGTTGGTTGCATCTGTTAGGTTTTTATGCGCCTTGGACGCTTTCCAGCTGTTCAGATGTCTCCCCCTTCCCCAGCCCCTGCCTCCTGCGGCTCCCCTCACAGCCACGCGCCCCGACCACCGCGGGGGCTCCCCTGTCTGGGCACGTCGTGGCCGCCCTGTGATGCTGTTCACAGCCGCGAGCTCACCCATCCGTCCCTGATGTGCACCTGTACTCACACCGGGGACCCCGAGACCCTGGCCCCTGGGGGCTTCCCTTGTGTCTGTGCGGCTTGTGTCGATTCTGTTTCTGCCCTCTCAGGAGCGGTCTCTCTGGGTCTCCCGGGCCTCCCTGGGTCTCCCTGGGTCTTCCTGGGTGTCCTGGATGTCCCTGGGCCTCCCTGGGTCTCCCTGGGTCTCCCTGGGTCTCCCAGGTCTCTCTGGGTCTCCCTTGGTTTCCCTGGGTCTCCCGGGTCTCCCTGGGTCTCCCTTGGTCTCCCTGGGCTTCCCTGGGCCTCCCTGGCCATCCTGGGCCTCCCTGGGTCTTCCTGGGTCTCCCTGGGCCTCCCCTGGCCTCCCTGGGCTTCCCTGTGTTTCCCTGGGTCTCCTGGGTGTCCTGGGCCTCCCTGGGCCTCCCGGGTCTCCCTGGCCATCCTGGGCCTCCCGGGTCTCCCTGGTCTCCCGAGTCTTCTGGGACTCCCCAGATGTCCTGGGCCTCCCCGGGTCTCCCTGGTCTCCCGAGTCTTCTGGGACTCCCCAGATGTCCTGGGCCTCCCCGGGTCTCCCTGGCCATCCTGGGCCTCCCTGGTCTCCCCAGGCACTCTGTCCAGGAAGCTGGGCTGTTTCTATTTCACGCGGGGGCAGTGTGCTCCTCGCCACCACTCTGCTGCTGGCTCCTTTGAACGTCGTCCGTGTCTCTCCGAGCACCGTCACACTTGTGCGGCCAGGAGCCCCGTGCACATGGACATACTCACGTGACTGTGTTCCGCACGTCCCGCCGTGAGCAATTCCTGCTCAGCGATGCGCCGTGAGGGCGGCCGGGGAGTCCCCGGTGGGTGCTGGCTCTGTCCTTGTCCTCTAAGGGGCATCTCAGTCTTCCCGGCCGGCAGGGAAGCCACCTGGGGACTCATCAGACCTCTCTGGGGATGGTTTAGTCTCCGCCCTGTGTCCTCAGGGGACCGCCCCCTGCGCTGGAGGCTGGGGGGATGCCTGGGCCAGGTCTGGGAGTTGTTCTTCCCTCCAGAGCTTCTCTTATGGCCAACAGGTTTCCCGAGGGGTTGACATTGGCGGGGCCCCTCCCTCGGTCCCTTTCCTGCGAGGAGAGGAGAGCTGGGGTGGGAGAGCTGTGCCCATGGAGGAGAGAGGGGAGCCTGGGACAGCCCTGTTGGTCAGGATGTGGGGCCGAGGGTGGGCGGTGGTGTGGGTCCAGCGAGCCTGTGTGTCAGGGCTGGTTGGGGGGGCCGGCTCAGCAATTAGTGCG